TTATATATTAATAATGTTTTATTAATATTTTTTCTTGTTTCAGGATAAGACTGAAATCAATATTTATACAGAAAATGTTCATCCGTTAGATATAAGCGTTAAGATGTTGAAATGTTGCATGAAAACAGCTATCGACAACTTGCCTATAAAATTTTTCAAGTTCACCAGGTAAGGATTAAAATATAATCTTAAGGTATACTAATTATTAATAGATGTATTGTATTTCTTTTAAAACATTTAAAAATAAAATTTATAACAATGCTTCTTTGTTGTAAGTGGCTGGTTGCATATTTTATGCTCTCTACTTTAAAATAGTAATAATAAATGGTAGTCTGCCCGAAGGTAGGTCCATGTTGCGAGCGCCTCCACAATACCTGATCATCATCGTCTATCATTCCCATTACCACTATTTCCCCCCTTTTTTTATTTTTTCCCCTTTCCGGACATGCTTTTTGATCCTGGGCTACGGCTTTCAGTTCCCTGTATTTTCCCTCGTCGAACGTCTGCATTTTTCTTCTTCCCATTCCTTTCAATCCTTCTATTTTACGCTCGACGACTTCATGCAGGGTGCGCTCTTTTCGCAGAAGGGGTCCGATCCAGTTTCCTTTTCTTTTCAGGATTGAGCTCAGTAAAGTCCTTACTTTGCCCACTCTTCTCAGGACTTCTTTATTTGTTATTTTGTCTATTCTATGATTCTATGTCTATTTCAAAATTTTGCAGGTAGTTCTTGTCGGCCTTTTTAGAGTCCATGTCTCCGATCCGTACAGAGCTATGCTCCATACGTAGCACTTTATTGTATTGTCATACTTTAAAATAGTATTATAAATTTGCTTATTTTTGAGATAATGCTGGTGGACCTTCAAGACCCGCTTCACTCTATTATGCATTAGTTTTCAAAATCTAAATATAATATCGGACTTAACATACTGCCCTGCGGTACTCCGCATTCGAAATTCCTAACACTTACGGGCCGATTCTGCCGCACAACAGACCAATGTTATGGCAAGGCCATGTTACGCTCCATCTTCCATCCTGAATACTGCCAAAATGTCATGCATTTGCTTTACATTCAGGCGTTTTACACATAAACTGCAACGTCACTCGTATGTTATGAAGCTGGGTCAGAAAGACCCTGTTATCTAAGATCGTTTTTTTGAAATTTGTGCGGTCACTGGGTTAGGTTTTCTATCAGACAACCTGAGAAAAGCGCCTGACTGCACACAAACCACATGGTTTTTGGCAATGTTTAGAACGATTTAGTGTGGAAAGTTCTTCATAACATAGCCTTGCCATAACATTGGTCTGTAATGCGGCAGAATGCGGCCATCAGTCTCAATTTGTACATAGTTATTGGTAAATTCCTATGATTTATTTTATCTTAGTTATTTTGTATTTTTTTCTAAATGCTTTATTAATAATATTTGTTTATGTTTTATATTTAAGAACGAAAGGTACTGTGATCACGACGGTCGGTGAAGTATTTAAGAGAAGAAATACAAACGGCTACATTTTATTTTCAAACTCAATAGCAGCTTTTAAATCATCACTACAACATCTTTCCCAAAGGGATCACAACACTAAAGTTATTATTGTTCATACAAATTCAACAACAGACGAAATACACGAGTTTTTGAAGGAAACCTGGACAGTTTATGGAATGATTAACGTAATTTGTTGCCATTCAGATTTGAAATTGACATTTTATGATCCTTTTTTGCCAAATAATGGGACAAGAGGTAAAAGTTTTACCTATGATATAGCAGGAAAATTAGTTGAAAGAGGTTTGCGTTTATATAATAGGAGATTGTGGAACGTGCATAAATATGTGTTGAGGATTTGTATCTTCAACAACTCTGGTACAGCAGCTCCTGATGTCTACATCAACAATTCTGTGGTCAAATATAAATTCCAGGATGGTGAAATTATGAACACTATTGTGACCAGTATGAATTTCCATCCTGTTTATTTGAAACCAAGAGACAATAAAATGTATGGACATCAACTACCTGATGGTACTTTGACTGGTTCCTTAAAAGATGTGGATGAAGGTGATGTTGATATCACTGCTAATTTACGTCCTGTTAAAGATTACGGACAGAACAAGTCTGAGTTTCTGTTTTCTCCTGATACTATGGATATGGCCTTTCTAGTTCCTAAAATGCGTGAAGGCTCCACTGTTTCGTTTTTGGAAATTTACAGCTGGCAGGCATCTATACTCATATGTGCATCATTCTTTGTCTTCATTGCTGTTTGGAGAATCCTGGAAAAGTTTCATAATAGGACACAATACACAAAGTCGTCGACTTTAATTGGTATTACCTTTTGGACGTTTGGTAACTACATTCTCGTGCCACAACCTCGCAAAGATTTGTTGCACGAACGTTGTTTATATTCAGGATTAATACTGTTTTCTATGGTGAACAGTTTTACATACCAAGCCACTATGGTGCAGCACTTGACAACGAGCGTTGTATCTTTAGACATTGATTCCATGGAAGACTTGGCCAAAACAAATTTGAAAATTGTTACAGCAAGAGGTTTAAAAGAAATTTTGAAAGACGTGGCTTTTGCTGAAGATGCACCTGGATATTTCATGGAATTATACAAACGTTTGGAAATCATCGATAATTCTACTGAAGTTATACGAAGAGTGAGCCTGGTGAAAGATGCTGCAGTGCTTTATGCTTTAATGAGTTGTAAATTTATTCAACTCGATACCAGAGATGTTAGAACTGGTAAAATGCTGTTACATGTATTAGAAGATGCTCCTAGGAATAGATACAGTGCTCATATGGTACCTATGAACTCGCCATATAGAGATAGATTCAATTTCATCCTGATGAAAATTAGAGAGAGTGGTCTGATGCCAAAATGGAGAGACGATGTTTACCATTATCTAAAAGTTCAACATTATGTTTTATTCAGGAATTCTGATCCTGGAGCAGGAACTGTTTATGAATATGAGGATTTGAAGTTTATTTTTCACGCCTGGTTGATTTGTTGTTGTTTTACGTGCTTTGTGTTTGCTGGAGAACATCTACACTACTATATCAGACAAAGAACAAAAAAGTGTTTATGACATTGGTAGATGTTGGAGGATGGATTTAATTTTGTGATTATTCTGTGAATTGCCAAATTAATTAATAAGGTAAGTCATTATTTATATTTATTACTTATTACACCACAAGATGTAATGATGCCTTTAATATTACGTAGCAGATTTAACGATTTACGTGGTTGTTATATTTAACACTTTGCGCTCGGTTGTCCCCTTTTGCAGACAACATAAGTTTTGCATATACCTTGGCTGTCTCCTTTGAGGCACATGCCAGTTTGTATACACAACTACTCAGTTCGTATTGAAGCGTCAACTACAATTCTTCGAGAATGAGCAACTTACAGCCCGCGGGCTTCATGCGGCTCTTTTAATATTTTTCTGCGGTTTGGAAGACTTTTATTGAAACAACTTTATTTGATCAATTAATTAATTTATTATAATTATGACGTATTATTTTTCTGTTGCTTTTTTTTATGAAGTATTTACTTTTTTACTTCCCGTGAAGTAAGTTATTGTAATCGCCCAAAAATCGATAATGAAAATTTTTGCATATATTCAAGTTTTGAAGATTTCTGAACATTTTTGCATACCTCAGAAAAAAATGGGTGTGTGTGTTTGTATGGATACAATTTTTCGTCCACGTTTTCGGGTGCACAGGTCAACCGATTTGTATTATTAAATAAAATATTCGATTCCTATTGATTGGAAGATGTGCTGATTAGTTTATGGCAAAGGCAGGTCTAGCCGTTTCGGAGGTACGAAGCAAAGAGTGCATAAAATTGAAATTGATTTTTTGAGAGCTCGGAGCATCCGATTTGAATTATTAAAAAACATTCAATTTGTAATGATGAAGAGAAGTGGTGATTAGTTATTGGCAAAGGCAGGTCCAGCTGTTTTGGAGATAAATGTGCAAAAAATTGCAGTTTTTGAGAGAACGAAGCATCCGATTTGAATGATTCCAAAAACTTTTTGCTTGTATTGACGGAACGATTCATATCCATTTTTTTCATTTCTGAATATCAAAAATAATTCAGATTTTAATTTTAATTTTAGCTAAAATTCTAATGCTCGCTTATATACTTGAAATATTATTTATAAACATATGGCATATGACATTTGACCAATCGGGAGCGTTCGCGATTATCGTCGGCAATGTTTGCTCAGACATGTTACGTCACATACCCTTCTATGTTTGAGCACTATATACAACGGAAAACATATAGGGACTAGCAGTTTATGTAGTGTATTGTCTATGATTCTAGCAAGAGTTAGAGTAGTAATCGAGGGTATTCGACGGTTCTCGGCAACACTCGTTTACCCAATGACGTTACTATCGTCTTTTATCTTTTGACAATGCTTATTTAACTATGATGAGGACTAGCAGTCTAAGTAGTGTAGTCCCATTCGATTCAGAATGACTTGAGATGTCGAGAAAACATAAAATTGGCGAATCAGATTTGTTTTTGGCGAAAACATAAACTTTTTCTTCGGGAAGTCAAAAAGTATGTGTGTGACAAACTCTAATCTTTATTCCTCACGTGTGCCCGCACCCTTAGAAACTACGTAACCGCGAATTTCAAACTTTTCAAAAACTACACGTAAAATAAGAAAAAAAATGCAAATAACGGAATAATTACACTTTTGAATTAAGTTAATATATTAAATATATCTTTTTTAAATAAATAAATGCAAAATAATTATTAATAAAAAAAAACATATTTTTAAAATCGAGCGCTACCTGTCAATGTCAATGAAACATCATCTGTCATAAAAAATGAATAAATTTATGAAATTAATAACTTGTCAAAAATAAATATATTCATTATCTATGACATTTTAATTATTTTATAAATATTAATATATATTTTGCTTTAATCGGTATAAAAATTTTTTATAGTTGTGTTAAAAAATTTGATATGCAAACAAATTTTGTTATGTTTTTAATTTTAGTTAAGTTTTACATGAATTTTATCACTATTGTGTAGTAATGCTTTAAATAGAATTAAAAATTATTAGTTTGCTTGTGATTTAATATTTATGTTCAAAAAATAAACTTTAAAAGTGTGTACGTGCAAAAGTCATTTCATAACCTCAAATTTATATGTCGGCTTGTACTCAGGTTTGTTTTCCATATTAAAACACTAAAAATGTCATATTATTGTTGCTAAATATATTCAACACTTGTTTTACAACTATGTACAAACATTATTTGTCATATGTCATATTAATTTTATCCTTTTCCAGTTTCTTCATATATCCTTTACAAAATGCAAGAAACCAAACGCCGAGAGCGCTCAGCAAATTTCACAATCGCCGAAATCCGTCTCCTAAGCTCCCTGACAGCTGCTTATAGAGACTCCATCGAAAACAAAAAGAACGATGCAGTCTCCAACAAAGAGAAAGAAGCAGCTTGGCTTACTATCGAGAGTATGTTCAATGCCGCTATAGTCTCTCCGCAGAGGACTGCAAAGACTTTAAAATTGAAATATGATGGCTTGAAGAAGGCTTCGAAGAAACAAATGGCCCCTTTGTTTGATGACGGGTTGTCGACTGATCCTGAGATGTATGATGCTGAGGAGAAGGTGCTGGCGATGTGTACAAGTGTTTATGGGGTTGAGAATAGAGTTGGCAGTGATTGTTCTGTAGGTAGGTGGTAAAACACTCATAAATATATAAATATATTTATATATACATATATATATATATATATATATATCTTATATATAAAATTCTTTTGTAATGTATGAAAGGATAATCCTCCTAAACGATTATTTAAATTTTGATAAATCTTTTTGAATGTTGTTAAGGAAACGGAAAGCAATGAGTTTTCTTGGAAATTTTCAAGATATTTATAATTTTTTTAAAGAAGCACCTCCAAGTCCAAGTATGAAATGCACTGATATGAAAGTTTTAGAAGTTTAAAATAATTTTTGTATCTGCTTTAGAATGTTATAATTTTAATATGTTTTATTTTAATATGTCTACTATAATGACAAATACTAAAATCGATGAGTTTTTTTGGAAATTTTCAAGATATTTATAATTTTCTTAAAGAAACACCTCCAGTCTAAGTATGTGGAAAACTGATACGAAAGTTTTGCAAATTTATAATAATTTGTGTATTTGCTTTAGAATGTTTTAATTTTAATATGTTATATTTTAATATGTCTACTATGATGACAAATCTTAAAATTGATGTTTTCTTGGAAATTTTCAAAATATTTATAATTTTCTTAAAGAAGCACCTCCAAGTCTAAGTAAGTACGGAGTAAACTGATATGAAAGTTTTAGAAGTTTATAAAAAATTGTGTATTTGAATTAGAATGTTGTAATTTTAATATGGTCTATTTTAATATGTATACCATAATGACAAATACTAAAATCGGTAAGGTTTCTTGAAAATTTTCAAGATATTTATAATTTCATTGAAAATGTTCCTCCAAGTAAAAGTTTAAACTGATTAGTGCATTAGAATGTTGTGCTACATTCTTCTTCATTATGTCTACTACGATCATAAATACTAAAGTAATGAGTTTTCTTAGAAATTTTCAAAATACAATTTCTAAAAAAAACACGTTTTTCTAGATCGTTCTAGTTTGAGTACTAAAAATACCCAATTATTCGAACAAATACTTGACAATTGCTTTCTAGCGCGCGTTGTGAAGTACTGCCGTCTTTTACCTTGTCAAAGTGATTTCACGCCTCATGTTACACGTTTCCACTACTATAGAGGTAGTAAATTTTTGGAAGCCTCGTTTTTATTAAAAGACGAGGCTCAATATGCAAATTAATCTAGTTGTAAGTGGCATTTTGCCTTGAGGCAAGTTGCATGAGTAAATAACAGAGGTTTGTTAAAATTAGACCTTTCGTCGACGTTTTCTCAAAAACGGGCGAGTCAGTTTCACAAAATTTAAATACTATACGCATTGGTTAGTTTTTTTATACGATCTGCTAAGCCGTTTCTTTAGAATTAGCAAAACAGTGCAAAATTTTAAATAAATTTACTCGCCCGTTTTTGGTAAAACGTCGATGAAAGGTCTAATTTTAACAAACCTCTGTTATTTACACATGCAACTTGCCTCAAGGCAAAATGCCACTTACAACTAGTTACCTTCCCGTAGGGTTGTTACAGTAATAGGCCGAAATCGTTTATCTATGATATATATATATATATATATATATATATATATATATATATGTATGTATGTATATATTATATATTTTAGAAGTTGCTACACCAGAAAGTGCTTTACCAAAACATATGCAAAATGCTCCGATAAATGAACCATGTGAATCTGGACAAAATCAAGGTAATATACATAAATTGTATTACAAATTCAATGAAAACATATTTTTACATAGTAAGAGATATTACATAATTTATTATAATATTAACATTTTTTTTCTGGTTTTCAATCAAACACATGGATAAATTTAATGATTCATTTAATACTTATAATTGAAATAATATTTGTTTATATTTCTTCTATAATTATGGTGTTGATTTTCAGAATAATTTAATGAGATTTTTCTAATTATAAATTTTTTCTAGTAATCGAAGAGCCTCCTTGTGTTACTATTTCTCAAGAAAATGGACCGTCTAAAGGTAAATAAATGCTTCAATTTATTTTTATCTATTTGTATGAATAAAATCTTAGAATATTCCTCTTCCAGTTGTCTCTAATAATTATGACAAATGGAAAACAAAGTTCCCAAAGAATCTCAGCGTAGGACTTATAAAAACCGAAGACTCCAATCCACAATCATCAAATAAAAATGATAAACTAAGTGCAGCTCAATTGGAATTGGTACAATTACAAATCGAGATTGCAAAACGTGATCATGAATTCTTGAGAATTGAGCACGAGCTGAAAGTCGAGCACATGAAGAACGAAGAACGTAGAAGACAGGAGACACACGAGTTGTTGATTAAACAAATTATTCAAGGAAATTGTAGTCCCACGAGTAATAGTTAGAGTTATAGGAAATAGAAAAGAAGTAAGTTTAATTTTATGATTTAATTTGCTATATTTTATCAGAAAATTTGATTTACTCTAAGTCATTCTGAATTGTTTGACACTAAGATTGGATCAAGTATGTGTGTGCCTGTATATGTGTCAAAATTTAACGTTTTTCTCAAAAGGTCATTATAATAAATCCGGTTACATTTGATTAATTTTATCCTTGTACGTTTTGTATGACTAGTGTAAAGAAGTTTTACTTCAAATTTTTTTTGTCTCGTTTTCATCATGTGGGGTCTTCTTTAAAAGGTATTATTGAGTACAACACGATTGTTAGTATAATATTTATTATATTATAATGTTTTCTAATTTTTCTTAACTAAATAAGTCATTCTGAATGTGCCAAAAGTTGACTTTTACTCAAAAGGACATCGTAATAAATCCGGTTACATTTGATTAATTTTATAGTTGTAAGTTTTGTATGAAAAGTGTAAATTTTTTTTTTTGTCTCTTTTTTCATCATGTGGGGTCTTATTTAAAAGATCTTATCGAGGACAACACGATTTTTAGAATAATATTTATTATATTATGATGTGTTCCAATTTTATCTAATAAATATGTCATTCTGAATCCTTTGACACTAAAATTGGAACAAGTATATGTGTGTGCCTGTATATGTGCCAAAAGTTGACCTTTTCTCAAAAGGACATCGTAATAAATCCGGTTACATTTGATTAATTTTATTGTTGTAAATTTTGTATGACAAGTATAAAGAAGTTTTACTTCAAATTTTTTTTGTCTCGTTTTTTATCATGTGGGGTCTTATTTAAAAGGTCTTATCCAGTACAACACGATTTTTAGAATAATATTTACTATATTATGATGTGTTGCAATTTTACTTAACTAAATAAGTCATTCTGAATCGTTTGATACTAAAATTGGAACAAGTATGTGTATATGTTCTAAAAGTTGACCGTTCCTCAAAAGGACATCATAATAAATCCGGTTACATTTAATTAATGTCATCATTGTAAGTTTTGTATGACAAGTATAAAGAAGTTTTACTTCAATTTCTTTTTGTCTCGTTTTTCATCATGTGGGGGCTAATTTAAAAGGTCTTATCGAGTACTACACGATTTTTAAAATAATATTTATTATGTTATGATGTGTTCTAATTTTACTTATCTAAATAAGTCATTCTGAATCGTTTGACACAAAAATTGGAACAAGTATGTGTGTGTGTGCCTGTATGTGTACCAAAAGTTGATTTTTACTCAAAAGGGCATGGTAATAAATCCGGTTAGATTTGATTAATTTATCGTAGTAAGTTTTGTATGAAAAGTTTAAAGAAGTTTTACTTCAAATTTCCTTTATCTTTTATTTTATCATATGGGATCTTATTTAAAAGGTAAATCCAGTACAACACGATTTTTAGAAAAAAATTTATTATAATTTGATGTGTTTTAATTTTACTTAACTAAATAAGTCATTCTGAATTGTTTGACACTAAAATTGAAACAAGTATGTGTGTGCCTGTATATGTGCCAAAAGTTGACTTTTTCTCAAAATTCGCGTTAGATCTAATTAATTTAATCGTTGTGAGTTTGTATGACATATCGTTGTATGACAAGTGTAAAGAAGTTTTACTTCAAATTTTCTTTGTCTCGTTTTTCATTATGTGGGGGCTTATTTAAAAGGTCTTATCGAGAACAACACGATTTTTAGAATAATATTTATTATATTATGATGTGCCTTAATTTTTCTCAACTAAATAAGTCATTCTGAATCAGTTGACACTAAAATTACAACAAGTATGTATGTGTGTCTGTATGTGTGCCAAAAATTTACTTTTTCTCAAAATGACATCGTAATAAATCCGGTTAGATTTGTTTAATTTATCATTCATTGATTCATTTCATTGTAAGTTTTGTATGAAAAGTGTAAAGAAGTTTTACTTCAATTTTTTTTGTCTCGTTTTTCATCGTGTGGGGTCTTATTTGAAAGGTCTTATCGAGTACAACACGATTATTAGAATAATAATTATTATATTATGATGTTTTCTAATTAATTAATTTTTACAATTGTCTCTCACACCTATTTTTTTTTTTTTTGCAGCAACAATGAATATAAAGAACTCGATTACAAACAACCGAACTGCATTATGTATTTGGTGATGATTTTAATTCAGAGAAGCAATCAGGCCAAAAATGATGAAAACAAAGACTTAACCTTAAATATGCAAAGGCTTAGACTTAAAATATGCAACTGGACAAGCTTATTTTTTTATTTATATATACAAGGTACCTGGAATAAGAATATAAGTAAGATTTTATAAAAATATATTTAAGGTAAATGATAGTGACTACTTGACCTGAAAAGAGATACATTAATTATCCTTTTTTAAGATTTCAATATTTCAATATTATATTTAATAACGTTTTGTTTTAAATATAATAATGTTATTCTATGTTAATGCATATTAGCCTTTTAGAAAATGCGTTTATACATTTTTTGTAACTTCTATTTGACTTAAATGAAATTCTTCTTCTGTTTTTTTGCTAAAATTCATCATTGTTATATTGTCTGTAATTTTTAAACCATTTGATTATATGGATGATGTCTCTGGGAAATTAATACAAAATTAATGTACACCCGTGCCTTGCTTTGCATCATTTAGTTTGAATCTATGAGAAAGGAATTAACTTATTTACTAAGAATTATTTGATGAAGACTTTAACTTGAATTTGCAATTTGCTAATTAGATTAATTCTAATAGTCTATTTTATTTTCAAAATTTGTTTTCACTAAATCCAAAAAGTAATTATGAAAAAACGACCTAAAGTACTATTTTTAAAATAAATTAAAATTGAAACACCTAAAGTACTAATTTTTATAAACAGAAAATAAACTATTAAATTAATAAGGCAATTCTGTCGTAGCAGAGCTTATAGCATAGAGTTATGCTTGTTTCTTGGTAGTGAAAACTGTGTCTATCTATTTGCTGCGCCATCAGGCATATTTTACATCTAAACAAGCAAGGTAGAATGTTATGATAACAGAATCTTCGATGATGCAGCTATAAGATTCTTCCTTGCTTGTTTATATTTAAAATATAAAATTTAAAATGGCAATACTGCCATGGCAACGCTATGCTATGCTTGTTTCTTGGTAGTGAAAACTGTGAAAATGTCTATCTATTTATTTCACATATTAAACAAGCAAGGAAGAATGTTATGATAACTGCATCATCGAAAATTCTGTTATGATAACATTATTCCTTGATTGTTTATATGTAAAATACGCCTGATGGCATAACAAATAGACATTTTCACAGTTTTCACTACTAATGAATAAGCATAAGATAGCATTGCCATGACGACACTATCATGGACATTTATTTACAAGTGTATAAATAATTAAATTTTTTTTTTTAATAAATTGCGAATTAAATGATTTGAAGAAGATCCAAACAGACCTTTTTTTTAAAAAAAAAGAGCTGTATATGCTTTGCTCTAAAAACAGAGCGTTGTCATGGCAACGCTTTGTTATGCTTTTTACTTGGTAGTGAAAACTGTGAAAATGTTTGGTGCTTTACTTTTCATTCACACCGAATAATACCTTGCCTTTGAATAACTGAAATAAAATTACAAGTTAATACAATACAAATACAATAACAACAACATACATCTGCTTTATGCCAGGATCTCTGTATTTCAATTAAGTGTTTCCTTCTCGAAGTTTGGAAAATCTTCATAACATGACAACGCTATTTTATAAGCTCTGTTACGGCAGAATTGTCTCATAAATAACGCTATGTTAAACTGTGAAAATGTTTATCTATTTGCTATGCGGTCATTTTCACAGTTTTCACTTCCAAGAAACAAGCATAAAATAGCGTAGCCATGACAACGCTATGTTATTGCCTCTTTTACGCCAGAATTGCCCCATCAGTTTACGTGACATTTGTGTAATATGCAAAAGAAGTTATCTGAACTAAATTAGTTTACTCGTAGACAAAAAATATTTTCGATGAGTTTTAGACCTAGGCTGATATGCATTAACGGGTTACCGTGGTTCTCAACCTGTGGGACGCCAGGCATCAGGGCGACGCGAGTTCTTTTCTTGTTAGTAAAAACTATAAAAATGACTATTTGCTGTGCAATCATTTTCACAGTCTTCAATTCCAAGAAACATGACAACGCTATGTTATGGGCTCATTTAGGCCAGAAAGTCTCTGAAATAACTTGGCTAATATGCATTAACGGGTTACCGTGGTTTTCAACCTGTGGGACGCGACCCATCAGGAAGCGTACAGCTCCAAAATACTATTTCCAAAAAAATAAACCAAAAACATTTGAAATGATAACTAAATTAAGGGGGTTGTTCTTTTTTTTGTTACAAAACATGCAAGGTATTTGTTTTTGTTTTTCTCGAAATGTATTTATCATAAAGACATGCGGTTTTTTTAAACAAAAATTACAAAATCATAGAATATTAAGATTATTTTTTTTCGCCGTCATTTTTTAACCAGGGGGCGCCAAAGTGGGCGTTGCAAAATCGATCTCATTTGCGGTGCCACAGATAAATCCGTTGCGCATCGCCTGAAACAAACAAAAACGAAACTACGTTGAAGAAGAAGTTTGAATCCAGTCCCCCTACCAAAATGAAAGAAAAAAGCAATAAGGAAACAAATGGCAGCTAATTTAAAAAAAAAGTGTCCAAAAAGGCCTTTGTTTTGGGACGAGAAGGTTCGCAACATTTTTTTGCGTAATGTTATCAAGTTGTTTAAGGTTGGGGGACTAGGTATTGCAGTTGTGAACAAATTAAAAAAAATGCAAGTCGAATCGATTTGTAGTTTTTTTTTTAATTTGTGGCACCGCATTGAAAATAGTCAATTTGAGAAAAACGTATTTAAAGTTTTTAATATAATGTACTAAATACACCATTTAATTTAATGTACTGAATACACCATGGTGTTCAAAGATGCTGATACATTAAAAAGGTCATGTGCATGAGGTATTATAATGAAAAAAAGACAGCTGGCATACAATAGCTCGCGGAACGATAAAAAAACGCTTTCAGAGGATCACACGTATAGAGATATATATATATATATATATATATATATATATATATATATATCAATATATCTATAACTTATTCAAAAAAATAGATATTGAGATGATTTTTTTTTTTTAAATAATTCTAAGGTTTTTAGCTTTCATAATATCAAAAAATCTCAAAACCGAAACAAAAAAATATAAAAAAAGAACAACCCCCTTAATAAATAACTATTTATTGTGCATATTTTTACATATTATATTAACTATAATAATAGTATATTAACTTGTAGCCAGATAAAATGAGTATTTATGAAATTAGATTGCTAAAAAAACAAGATGGCGGCGATACGAAAAGGTTGGAAACCACTGGGTTAAGTAGTCTTTTACTTACACTTGGTATGAATAACCAAATATTAAATCCTTAAGTACTATTTTACTATAAATAAAACCTCAAAGACAATGAAATAATTTTATTTAACAAAATCGGCTCCACAGAACTCATTTACCACTAGTTAAATTAAATGCAAATAAAAGTGATGTTACATGTTACACTTTCAACATTTTACTAATATTATTCGCTCGTGTCTCAAACATCCTGAACACATCTTGTGATAAATCCTCCATAGTTGTGTATCTGCATTTATTAAAATCATAAATATCAATAAAAAATGTGTACATTTCATCTTTGAAATACTGGCACATGGTCTTCAGTTTTTCATCAGGTCCCAAGAAGCCCCAAGCCATGAAGGGGATTATTTGTTCTGATAAATTGTAAAAACGTGACCGAAAACCATCTGAGTACTTTAACATGCAACGTTTAGCTTTTATAACGGACCATACGGCGGTGGTTAAGGCTGATTCTTTGATGCCGTTTGAAAGCCAACGGTTTTGCACCACCGAGACTACTGAGGATGGTGGTTTTTCTAGATCCTCAAAAGCATCCAGCAGGATATAATCTAAAGCTACGTCGTAGAAAGTAATCATTTTAACATTACGTACAGCAAGTTCTTCTTCAATCAACTCATGATTACTCGTGTCTTCAACAAACTTAATCATGTCTTCATAACTTGCTAAAAACCTTTCAGGATCTTTTCCTCCGAATACTAATAAATTCGCCAAAATCTCTTGCATCGTTTCAATAACCCACAACCGTTTTGTTGCATCTTTAAGTATATACTGGAATGCTAATCGAATACAATGTAATTTAACAAGATACTCGTTATCAGAACTGCATCGTACAAACTCTGTGCGTAAACTTCGATAAGGAATCCCTTTTTCTAACAACAACTCTTGATTCTGTCTATAAAACTGTAAAGTCTCACTCTCAAAAACATCATTAAACTCATCCAAGTCTGCGACTTCGTCTTCGGCTGACACAAATGAATCATCCGTAGAAGTGATAATGGATCCATAAACTGAGCGCATGGACTGATAGTCGTTCAAGAATAGGGCTTCATACTGTTCACGTAGCTTGTAAGCGTTTACTAGTAACAGTTTGATGTTATCGTGGAACTTATCATCCTCTACAGACTTTAGTTTTAATGTTTGTTCCCACAATTTAATACTTTGATTTAAAGCTGAAAAGCCTTTAGTAGACAAATCATTTATGGATAAAAGGTTGTTGTCTATGTCACTTAATGTGATGGTACTTCGGAGGATCGACTTTTTTTTATAGTTTTGGGGGAACAAAAAATAGCCTTTATGAAGCATACAGCTTTAGGACTACTTTTTTTACGTTTTTTCTTCCAATAATGTGAGAATAAGCTGAAAGTTATTACGCCTGCTGCTAGGACTGTTAAGGTTTGAAATGTACCACATTTGTTAAACAAAGGTTTTAATCTAAAGTTATTAATTAGTAAAGACATTTTATACACAACTTTATATTTTTTTGTACAGGTTATAATTGATTAGCTTGAATCATATATTGGTATTTAATTTGTAAATAAGTACAGTAATTTATTTGTAAAGTGAGTTTTAAGCATTTTAACAAACAATTTTACATTTTAATTAACTTATTTACATTTTTTTTAATTTTTACAACTTTTGACAGTTTTAGATAACTCTCACCATAGAACACTAAACGTCAAACTTATATAGATCAACCTCAAATTTAACAAAAACCATAGAAAACTTGAATCACTTATTTCGGGATACTACATGCGCAAGAGCATAATAAATATGCACAAGAAAAATTTAAAATTTCTCAAAAATCTAATTTTTTCATAGTTTGAAAAAAATTTAATCTTTTTAAAAAAAAAAATTATTGGTACGGGAAGTACAAGCAATTTGTCTTAAGGCACGATGCCATAAACCACTATAGTTGGATCATTCAAATTGGATGCTCCGTTCTCTCAAAAACTCGATTTCTATTTTCTGCACTCTCTGCTTCGTATCTCCGAAACGGCTGGCCGACCTTTACCAAAAACTATCCAGCACATCCTTCTATTTATAGGAATCGATTTTTGAATCAGCCAAATCGGTTGATCTGTACGCCCGAAATCGTCGTCGAAAATTTGTATCTACACACACCCCTTTTTTTAAGGTATTCCGAAATGCTTAAAAACTTCTGTATCGTAAAGATATTCAAAAAATTTCAATTTCGATTTTTGGACGATTGCAATACGCGGGAAGAAGATTCTACTAATAGTTATGGCTCAATTGCAAATGTTATTAAACCTGGAATGGATGTAAAACATTATTAATAAAACATTTATACAAGTCTTCGATAAAAATGTTTATTTATTTTATATAATATATAAATAATTCATATATCTTATCATCATTAATTTCTATAAGCAGCCATATGTAAATTTGTGACCAATTTTGTAAATACTAATTATTCATTGGTATGAGCAACCATGTACCTTTTCAGGGCTTCGGAACGTTTGAATACCTTATCACAGATTTTGCATTTGTAGGGGCATTCTCCAGTGTGAATGAGCATATGTCTATTTAAACTACGCAAGTGTTTGAATGTCTTATCACAAATTTGGCAAATATGAGAACATTCCTAGATAAATAAGCATAAATGAGAACATTTATCCGTGAGAACATTTTCCTTATCTATGAAAACATTCATCCGTGTGGATAATCATATGCTCCATAGATAAAAGAAGAGATGTCATAGATAAAAGAAGAGATGCTGTGAATGTCTTATCACATATCTGGCAAATATGGGGACGTTCACCTGGTCCCTTTGCAGTATGAGTGCGAATATTTTGTTTTCGATTACCAGATTTATTCAAATATGAAATTTGTCTCTGGAAAGGGCACAAATGTGTTGACCTACTAAATATTTTTCAGTAAATGCTTTACCGCATTTGTTCTCTGGAAAAGGGCACAAACGTGTTGATCCACTAAATATTTTTCAGTAAATGCTTTACTGCATTTTGTACATGTGAAATGTTTTTTACCTGTATGAGATTTTAGATCTCTTATAATAATTTTATAGGCGGAATATAAACTGTTCGTTCAGTATATTAATTTGTTTGGCAACTTCGTAACTTTGCCTCGCTATTGGCTATGTGTGAAGGCATGGAAGGGGAAGTCAAATCGACCGAAGCGTTCGTAGTGGCTAACTTGGAGCACTAAAAGGGGCTATTATAAACAAAATTTTAAACAAAAACACATAAAATATTTATTTATTTCAAATTTAAATAAGATAATTAAAAATGAACCACCATGTCTGTTGTGTAGTGGGTTGTAGAAATACCAGCAGAAAAAGTGACTGCAAATTCTATACATTTTTTACAGCTAAGTGGAAAGAAAATCAACGGGAAAAGTGGATCGCAGCGGTTAGAAGAATGAAGTAAGTATCATAACCTTATTGTTATAAAAATACAATTTGGAGTATTATGAATAGTTGTAAAATTGTTATGTTTAGAAAAAGAAAAATTATAAGTCAATAAATTGTTGTATTATCAAAATTTAATGCTTACTAAAAAAATGTTTGTAAAACAATGTAATTAATACAAGCCTGAAATAATGAAAAATACATATTTATATATTGTATATTGATTATGTATAACTATTATCTATATATTAATTACATTTTATTATATAATAATTGTAATTTTATGATTAAAAGAAAAATAAAAGTTATCACATAGCGTAAAAATGTTTATTTTGCAAACAGTTTAATAAATACAATGCTGAAATAATGCGAAATATATATTTGTAGTGTTGATGGATCACCGTGGGTTCCCAAGCCCTATGATCGCATTTGCAGTGAATCGGTCGGGGTATTGAGTCCTACCTACTTGTCAACTTGGTCTTGTCTTTATAATAATGTCTAAATTATGTCTTTATAATAGTGTCTAAGTCTTTAGTTTGACCAAAAAAATGAGTAAATTAATTTATTATTTACTTATTCTATTGATAAAATACTATTTATCATTATTATATTGTTTTTATTAAGAACTATTCCGAGATTATGACATAAGCTTTGAGGCACTTAACCTTAAAATTATTTACTGCATTTCTTTATTTAATTAATCATTATACTTAACTATGTTTTAAGTACGTTGAAGTAAATTTAATAATTTCAATAAACATTCAACGTTCACATTATTACTGTAACTTGTTTATTATTATTTATAACAATTATTTAATATCTTTTTTCTTTAACAAACATGTAAAACCCATGAAAACCACACACTGATACCCCCAATTAGTTCATATTTATTACGGCGCTGCATGGGCGCTGCATGGGCGCTGCAGTCACGCTGTGTCTCTGTGATTCATTTGAAATTACATTTGTATTTCGTATGTTTTGTTCTCATTTCCAATAATGAAATTTATTCAAGTTTTTTGTCTGTATTGATAATGTGAACAAATGTAAAAGTAGTAACCAGGGATTAATTTACAAAATGTACATGTGCTGCCATCTAATCAAAGTTTGGCATTTCAATCAAGGTAACGTCAAATCGCCATACAGCGATCTATTTATCCTATATCTATGGTTCTTTGTTACATAAAGTTTGAGGTTAAATTGTTTTCATCTGACATTTACCATTACAATGCTCTAAAAATGTTGGCAAATAATATTTTCCGTGTCTCAAATATCTACAAAAGGCTCTACACATTAAGCACAAAGCAGCCTGTAACATCCACAATCGATTTATACAGCAATGTCTTTTTCACACAATCTAGAAACACAAGTTTTTTCAACAAATTACCGGCGGAGTTCCTGTGGAAAGGATGCACTTCTGTCAGTAATGCCGGCAAGAAACGAGGACGTGGTAAAACAGTTAACAAAAAGAATATAAAAAACCTGAACAGGGGACAGATAATAGGTGTGGGGAAAGGTAATATGATCTGGCCTGGTTTGTCAGCCCCTATCATCCGTGGACGTGAACTGGTGCAACAACAAAAACTTCCTGAAGACCCTGACCGCGATAATAAACTAGCTAAACTCCGAGATGAGCACCAAAGTTTTCGTTCTATTAAATTAAGTCCTATCGAAAGAGGTTGGTCAGGTGCAAGGCTTCCGGGTAGAAGTGTAGGGCCCCCAGATGCTGTAGGCGAAGACGCTTTTGAGAACTTTGATACCAAAGTTTTAGAAATGAAGCAAGTTTTTCACATGTCCGGTACACTTGGACGTAAACGTTGCCAATCCATTTTTGTGGTGACAGGTAACGGACAAGGTTTGGCCGGTTTTGGTTTAGGTAAAGCTGCTGACACAAGAGCAGCTTTGCGCAGGGCTAAAAACAGAGCTGGACAAAAACTTATGTACTTTGAGTTATACAAAAATCATACCATATTCCATGATTTTTTCACGTGCTTTGGTAAAACCAAAATATTTGTTACCAAAAAGGCTGAAGGCCATGGTTTGGTATGCCATCGAGCCATCAAATCAATTTGTGAAGTCATCGGAATAAAAGACTTACATGCTAAAGTTGAAGGCTCCACAAACTTACAAAACATAGTCAAAGCCTTCTTCTTAGGCTTACTGCAACAAAAAAGCCACCAAGTAATCGCTGAAGAAAAGCGATTACATTTAGTAGAATTTTCTAAAGGCAACAATGAGTTTCCTGTCGTCGTAGCCTCTCCTAAAAATCCTAGGTCTGCAGAAGAAATTAGTCGTGATGAAGTTATAGATTATAATAGATACATTATGAATGATAAAGTTGTTTTGAAAAAGAAAAAATATCCACCGTTCTACGCTAGTATGCCTTCTCATACTTTGTATTTGAAGAAATGTGAAAAGAGGAGGAACCACGATCTGGTTAGACTAAATATGTTGGTGGAACATGGTGAATTAAAGAGTTTTATGACGGATAAATACCCTGAGTGCAGGCCTGGTTACGCAAAGAAGGAAGAATAATGGACAATTGTAAATAATTTGTTGATTGATTTGTTAAAAGTAATGCAAAGTAATATTAATATAAAGTATTTTCATAAATGACATTTATTGCTCCTATTTCTATTCAAATCATAAAGAATTATTTCAATTGCATGACTTTTTATAGTTTAAATTCTTCATTAATATATATATATATATATATATATATATACAAATTTATATATTTATATTACTTTTTTTTAAATATAACTACATGTCGTTTATTCAAGATGTTTTTTGCAAAACATGTGGATTATCGAATTCAATATATATATAAAGAAAACAACAGTTACATGTTATTCATAATTTTACGATATATTTAAACATTATATTTAAATAGTTTAAGTTAAAAATTTCTTATAGAATAAATGCAATAAATTCTTTTTATTTAAATATTGCTTGAAGAATATTCAATTTAAAATTTGTACTTTTTATTACTACTAATTTACTTATCGTTATAATTGTACATACTAATAATATTCTAGAATTGATATCCAGAATAATCACCAAAAATAATGAATAATTTTAAATAATAAACTAGTTGTAGGTAGCATTTTGCCTTATAGTAAGATGCATAAATGATCCAATATGTGGAAATAATTCTGCCCCATATGCTTGTTTCTTGGTAATGAAAGTGTGAAAATGTCTAAAAAGTGTAAAATCTATTTGCTGTTCAATCAGGCACATCTTATGATAACAGATTCTTCGATGATGCAATTATCATAAGATTTTTTCTTGCTTGTTATATGTAAAATACATCAGATTGCAGCAGCAATAGACATTTTCCCAAGAATCAAGCATAACATAGTGTTGTGATGACAACGGTATGCTATTATTCAAAAATAGTTTTTAATTCATATACGATCTATCTGTTTACCTGTCTATCTGCCTACCTCTATACGCGTATTTCCCTTTATCGGCTTACATGTCGACCTGTTTACCTGCCTACCTCTTTAATTGTTTTCCAGCTTACCTGTCTATCAGTCTATCCTATGAGTTTATCTGTCTACATCTCCCTTCTTCCCCTTTTTCACCCGATTATCTATCCAACTGTCTATGTGCCTTCCTGCTTACCAGTTCTAACCAGTTACAACTCCCAACATTTTCTGCACCCTTTTCCCTATGTTTCCGAAACAACTAGACTTGTCTTATTGAAAAATTAATCAGAACGTCTTAATCAATAGGAATCCAATTATAGATAAAGGAAGAGTATATGAAAAAGTGGATATTTTTTTTATTGTATATGAATCGAATGTTTTTTGAATCATTCAAATCGGTTGATTTGTGCAATGGAAATTGTGGACGAAAATTTGTATCCGCACAAACATCATTTTTTTTCTGAGGTTTGCTCAAATGTTCAGGTGCTCTTGAAACGCGAAGAAATGCAACAAATTTCACACAATTAAGAAAAGGCTTGTGTAAGGTTATGCTTTTGAAAAATATATTTAAATTTTATTTGCAAAATTAAATAAAAATTGAGAATGAATTAAACCTAAACCAATTTTAAAAACTTAATTCTTTTATATGTGTGCAAGATCTTTCTAAAACTCATCATAAAAATATTGTCTTATTTTATTACTTATATTATATTATTTATATTTATTTACTTATCCAGCGGTTCCGAAGGCACGGGGTAAAAGTAATAAGAATTGCAGTTTAGAGAGAACGGAGTGCCCGATTTGAATCAATCAAAAAACATTCGATTTGTATTGATGCGGAGACGTGGTTTCGAAGATACGGGGTGAAAAATTACAATAATGAACCGATTTTAGAAATTTAAAAGCCATTTGATGTATCTCCATGAGGACTATTGTTGTCAGTTTTGCGCGACGATCTGCCAAGCCGTTTCTTTGTCATATGGAAAAAAAGTGTTAAACTTTTCGCTCACATTTAATCTTATACTACCGAATAGATTTTAAAAAATCAAAAACTGTTCGAATCATATTTGTTGGGAATGATACTGATTAGTTTTAGGTGAAAATCTACCGAGCCGTTTTCTTGTAATTAACTGTTGAAAAAAAAATTAAGCCGATTTTTATGGAACTTTTTTTGGCGATATATATCATGGTCTTATAGAACATATTGAAATTTTACGGCCTTACGCCAAGTAGTTTAATTTTAAAAATTTATCAAGTTTGAGAAAATGAGTAGTTTTTTTTTGGCGTTTGGTAAAATTAAAATTAGACGATTTACTTGGTATAACGATAGAGTACTTGGTCTTAATGAACATACTAAATCATTAAAGTGCTACGGAAACTGGTTCAATTATAAAAATTGTTGATTTTTAACTTCCCGTAGGGTAAGTTATTCTAATGGGCCGAAAATCGAAATTGAAAATTTTTACATTTCTCGACGTTTTGAAGGTTACTGAACGTTTTGGCATACCTCAGAAAAAATGGATGTGTGTGTGTATGTATGTATGGATACAAACTTCCAGTCACATTTTCGGGCGCACAGATCAACCGATTTGAATGGTTCAAAAAACATTCGATTCCTATAGATAGGGAAAAGAGCTGATTAGTTTTTGGTGAAGGCAAGTCCAGCCGTTCCGGAGATACGAAGCAAAAACTGCAGAAAATAGAAATCGACTTTTTGAGAGAACGGAGTATCCGATTTGAATGATCTAAAACACATTCAATTAGTAATGAATGGGAGAAGTGTCTATTAGTTTTTTGCAAAGGCAGGCCCAGCCATTTCGAAGATACGGAGCTAAATATGTAAAAAATGGCAGTTTTTGAGAGAACTAAGCGTCCGATTTAAATGATTCAAAGTACTTTCTGCTTGTTTTAACAAAATAATTGATTTTGGAAAAAAAATTTGTATATATATATTTTTTTTCTTTTTTTAAGTTTTTCTTGTATATGGAAAATAATTCAGATTTTATTTTTATTCTGACTAAAGTTCTAACCAATCTCCCACAATAACTTAAACAAATAATTTTAAATTTGCAATTCAGTTTATTTACAATGTTACAATATTAATAATAATCTATTTGAAAACATTCAGTATTCCTCGAACATTTCGTTACGTTACGGGAAGTTCTAGCAATTTGCCTTAAGGCACGATCATGGCACGATGCCATACACCCCACTAGTTGAAAATTTGCTTTTAGGAAATACTCCGATTTAACGCGTTCGTTCGTTTTCAATTATGTGTAATAAATCCACTTGGTATACTTTTAATCACTCATAAATTAATTTATTTTTTATTGATTAGGCCGATTATTTAAACATATCGGAAAGTTCATGTAACTTGCCTCAAGGCAAAATACCAATACCAACTAGTTTTACATAATATTGCATATTAATTTATAGTCTGTTAATATCAGTTGAATATTTATAAAATTAAACTGTTGCAAAAAAGGTTGGAAACCACTGAGTTAAAATCATTAAAGATGGCGCCATAATTTCATTCATCTTTCAAACGTCAAACTTAGTCACACTTCTCATAACCTCAACAGTTCGGACTAATAAAACCACCGATAAATAATTAATAATAAAATATATTTTAATATCCAATAAGTGTCGAAAATTTAATTTAGTTATGTAATAATTCAAGTGCCATCGTGTAGTGAAATGATAATTGTTAAACAGTAAGTTTTATGGAAATAAAATGTATTGATTTGCTTTGCACAATTTGACAAATTGTTGTAAATGACTTAAGGTATAAATTGTTTGGTTTTACTATGAATTATATAATATTTATATGCTTTTGCGACTTATTTGTAAATGATACATTTTTAATTAATAATAAACAAAAACCCAGGATAAATTTGCAACAATACACCCATATAACCTTTGTATTTATAACACATATAACCTTTGTAATAAAAAAGCCTTTGTATTAATAAATTAATACTTTTTTCTACTTCTAATGGAGTCTCTTATAAGAGTTCTTAATTAATATTTAAAAACAAGGCTTATAGATAATCTTAAGTAATAAATTTAAAGCAATTAATAATTTGTGGAAATCAAATTTTCATCGAGTCGAAGACTTGTTTCGAAAACAAATCCAAACCGAAAGAGTCTTTTCACAATTTGTTAATCACAATTAATTTGAAACTGAATTAAAAAACTGTACCAGATATAAATAAGATTGACCTTATTAGTTAAATGTGACTCTTTTATATAAAAACCAAAATTTGTTGAAATCAAATTTACATCAAGTGAAGTCTTGTTTCGAGAACAAAACCAAACATAAAGAGTCTTTTCACAATTTGTTATTATTATTTTTACACCTTTGTTCTTTATGATATTAAATCTTGATGTTTTCTAACTTCTGTATTCATGTCTATTTACTAAAATGTCTTTAAGACACTTTACTTAAGTATCTAATCAAATATTTAAATTAGATTTTTAACTCTAAAGTCTTTGAGTGTCTCAATAGATTTCTCAGTGTTTTACATGAAATGGGTTCTGAATTTGTTTATGAATTTACACTAAACTAGTGGTACATGGCATCTTGCCTTAAGGCCTAATTCCTAGAACTTCCCATACTGTAATGAAATATTCAAGGAATATTAAATGTTTTCGAATATATTATTATAAATACTCTAACTTTTATTATTCATATTTTATAGACAAATTATAAGAGTTTATAAATTGGACGATGACTTTTATATAAGTTTACATGAAGAGTGAATAAACAAAACTTAATCAAGCAGAGTTAGAATGAAGGACCTTATCTCATATCACTAAGAATTATATGAACTGCAGTGCAAAATTAAAATTATTCATTTATAGTTATTTGTTATAAGTATATAAGAGAGTTTTAGAACTTAAGCTAGAATTAAAATTAAAATCTGAGTCATTTTTGATATTTAAATAAAATTGAAATTAGAAAAAAAAAAAATAATTTCGAGAAAAACTTTTTTTAGACTTCCTAAACTAATCGGTTCTTTCCAAGTATTTTTGAATTATTCGAATCGACCATGTTCTCTCAAAAACTACCATTTTTTGCACATTTAGCTTTGTATCTCCGAAATCGCCAGACCAGCTTTTCCCAAAAACTAATCACCACTTGTCCCCATTATTACGAGGTGAATGTTTTTTGAATCATTCAAATCGGATGGTCCGTTCTCTCAAAAATTCGATTTTCGTTTTCTGCACTCTTTGCTTCGTATCTCCGAAATGGCTCGACCTGCCTTTGTCAAAATCTAATTAGCACATCTCCCTATCAATAGGAATTGAATGGTTTTGAACCATTCAAATCAGTTGATGTCCTCGAAAACGTGGACAAAAAATTGTATCCACACATAGACAAACACTTTTTTCTATGGTATGCCAAAATGTTCAGAAACCTCTGAAACTTAAAAACATGCAAAAATTTTCATTTTCGACTTTTGAACGATATCCTATGGAAAGTTAAAAATTGTTAATCAAGCTATAAACCAATGTATTTGTAATTATTGCAAATTTTAAAATCTTCTATTTTTTAATTATACAGTTATATACATAAATAAATGTTTTAAATTATTTTATTGATTTTTTGTTTTTATTAATTAATTTTATTAAACGTTGGCGAGTAAATTTGCACATACTTGTTAATTATATATATATTTAAAAAATAAAAATAAAATAAAATATATAAAATTAAACCACGCAAGATTTCAATATATACTCATAAAGGCTGATTATTTTAATAATCATCGGTGTCAAACGATTCAGAATGACTTGAGACGCCAAGAAAACATGAAATTTGCAAATTGGATTTTCTGGCAACCTTTTCTTTGAGTATAATTAATTAATTCTGTATTCTAGTAATATTAATAAATTAATTTTATATTCTAGAGATGCCTTCCTCGTTGCTATTTGCCCTGAACACCGAAGGACGGATTTATGCACTTTCCACTTCTGGTTCAGTCTGGCGTGAATTTTTATATCTGGGATTAGAATTCAAAAGACTTTCGGCTGTGCCGCATTTTCTGTGGGCTGTGGGAGTCGATAGACAGGTCTATGTTCATGTCCATGGATTGGATGTACCTATAAGAGTAAAGGAGGAGACTTATGAAAATGAGGTAAAAAAGTAAAAGACCCATTATAAATAAATCAGGAAAATTATACTAATGGTAATTAAATCCCGATATATTTCTTTTTATTAATATATTTATCTAATATAGATCTATCTACACATCTAGTTTATTCTCTCAAACTATCTCTTTCTCTATCACCTCACTTTTTTATTTATCTATCACCTTTTCACTTTTTCATTTATCTATCTATCTTTTTCTCTCTCCATTTATCTATCCCTTTCTCTTTTAACACTGGAAGAATTTAAATATTTTAAATGATTAAATACATCAAGATTCAGCAGATTATAATATAAATTTTATCAAACATAAATCAAATCAAATTAAACCCTGATATATTTTCTTCTATTAGTTTTTTTCTTTCAAACAATCTTTATCTTTTTCTTTTTCTATCCTTTTCTCTATCTCTTTCTTTATCACCTTTTTACTTTTTTATTTATCTATCTATCTTTTTCCCTCTTTATTTATCTATTTCTTTTCATTTTACCACTTTAAGTATTTAAATACTTAAATAAAACAATACTCAGCAAATTATAATATAATTAAAATTATAATAATAATATAATAATATTATAATATAATATATAATAATATTATAATTTAATTTTAATATTTATAATATAAATCAAATCAAACTAAAACCCTGATATATTTTTTTTATTAGTTTTTTCTCTCAAACTATCTGTATCTCTTCCTCTATCACCTTTTTACTTTTTTATCTATCTATCTATTCTTTACCAGCTCTATTAATCTATCTCTTTCAATTTTAACACTAGTAGAGATTAAATAGTTAAATGAATTTAAACTAAACTAGTTTAAATTCATAACTAGTTCAAATAGAACAAGATTCAGCAAATTATAATATAATTTTTATCAAATATAAATCAAATCAAATTAAACCCTGATATATTTTTTTTTATTCATATCTTTCTCTATAGATCTATTTTCATTTCTAGTTTTTTCTCTCAAACTATCTCTATCTTTTACTCTCTCTACTTTTTTCTATCTCTTTCTCTACCACCTTTTTACTTTTTTATTTAACTATCTGTCCTTTTCCCTCTCTATTTATCTATTTCTTTCAAGTTTAACACTAGAAGAATTTAAGAAGAACAAGATTCAGAAGAAGAATTTAAATAGAATAGAAATTAAATAGAACAAGATTCAGCAAATTATATACAATTTTTATCAAAATAAATCAAATCAAATTAAACCCTGATATATTTTTCATTCATATTTTTCTCTATAGATCTCTCTCCATATCTAGTTTCTTCTCTCCAACTATCTCTATCTTTTTCTTTCTCTCCTTTTCTCTCTCATTCTCTATCACCTTCTTACTTTTTTATTTATCTACCTATCCTTTTCCCTCTCTATTCATCTATCCCTTTCTCTTTTAACATTGGAAGAAATTAAATAATTAAATAAAACAAGATCCAGCAAATTGTAATAAAATTTTTATCAAATATAAATCAAACCAAATTAAACCCTGATACATTTCTTTCTATTAGTTTTTTCTCTCTAACTATCTCTATCGTTTTCTCTCTCCCCTTTTCTCTATCTCTTTCTTTACACCTTTTCACTTTTTTAAACATCTATCTATCCATTCTTTTCTCTCTCTATTTATCTATCTCTTTCAATTTTAACACTAGAAGAATTTAAATAATTAAATAGAACAAGATTCAGCAAATTATAATACAATTTTTATCAAAATAAATCAAATCAAATTAAACACTGATATATTTCTTTCCATTCATATTTTTTCTATGGAAATATCTCCATATCTAGTTTCTTCTCTCCAACTATCTCTATCTTTTTCTTCTTTCCTCTATCTCTTTCTCTGTCATCTTTTCACTTTTTTATCTATCTATCTATCCTTTTCCCTCTTTATTTATATATTTCGCTTTCAATTTTAACACTAGAAGAGATTAAATAATTAAATAGAGCTAGATCCAGCAAATTATAATATAATTTTTATCAAATATAAATCAAACCAAAATTAAACCCTAATATATTCATTTCTATTAGTTTTTTCTCTCAAATTATCTCTATTCTTTTCTCTATCACTTTTATATATCTATCTATCCTTTTGCCACCCTATCTATCTATCTATTTCAATTTTAACAATAGAAAAATTTAAATAATTAAATAGAACAAAATTCAGCAAATTATAATATAATTTTTATCAAATATAAATCAAATCAAATTAAACCCTGATATGTCTTTCTATTCATATTTTTCTCTATAGAAATATCTACATATCTAGTTTTTTTTCTCAAACTATTTCTATCTTTTTCTTTCTCCCTTTTCTCTATCACCTTCTCACTTTTTTATTCATCTATCCTTCTCCCTCTCTATTCATCTATCCCTTTCTCTTTAAACACTGGAAGATTTTAAATAATTAAATATAACAAGATTCAGCAAATTATAATATAATTTTTATCAAATATAAATCAAATCAAATTAAACCCTGATATATTTCCTTCCATTCATATTTATCTCTCTAGATCTATCTACATATGTAGTTTTTTCTCTCAAACTATCTCTATCATTTTCTCTGTCTTCTTTTTTCTATCACTTTTTCACTTTTTCATCTATCTATCCATCCTTTTCCCTCTTTATTCATCTAACCCTTTCTCTTCTAACACTAGAAGAATTTAAATAATTAAATAGAACCAGATTCGGCAAATTATAATATAATTTTTATCAAATATAAATCAAATCAAATTAAACTCTGATACATTTCTTTCCATTCATATCTTTCTCTATAGATCTATTCACATAGTTTTTTCTCTCAAACTGTTTCTATCTTTCTCTTTCTCTCTCTCCTTTTCCCTATCTCTTGCTCTGTCACCTTTTCAATTTTTTATTTAACTATCTATCCTTTTCCCTCTCTATTTATCTATCTCCTTCAATTTTAACACTAGAAAAGTCTGAATAATTGAATAAAACAAGATTCAGCAAATTATATTATAATTTTCATCAAATATAAATCAAATCAAATTAAACCCTGATATATTTCTCCATATTCATATTTTTCTCTATAGATCTATCTACATATCTAGTTTTTTCTCTCAAACTATCTCGAGGGGGGGCGCTCGATAGGGTTTCTCGATCTGCGATGTTTCTCGCTCCGCTGGGCTCATCGCCGTGGCCCAGCTCTTCTCTATCAAGTGTTTACGGTTTTAGCATCTATCTATCCTTTTTCCTCTCTATTTATCTATCTCTTTCAATTTTAACACTAGATTATAATATAATTTTTTTTTTAATATAAATTTTATCTTTTCCAGCGATGGTTGCCCCTGGAAGGCTTCAGCAGTCGTCTGCTTCCAACCGATAGGTACCATTTCAGTTCTGTTGATGGACTTGTTGATCGCTCCATTGATCAAATCCGTTTGCCTTCGATGGCATGGCAGTGGGAAGGAGATTGGTATATTGATACAACATTAGATGGTAACAAAAGACATAGTTTTTTAAGGCAGAATTTTATAATTTTGTTTATTTATTTTTCTTTTTTTTTTTAAGGACAACCTCTTGAACATGATGGTTGGACTTACGCAGTAGATTTTCCAGCACAGTTTGGACCAAGAAAACAATGGTCATCGTGTGTTCGAAGAAGAAAGTGGTGCAGGAGAAGGAGATACAGTGCTATGGGTGCTTGGTGTGCTGTGGCACCTTTGCATAGAGATCCGACACAGGTAAAAAAATAGTGCACTGAAATGAAAATAGGAATAGATGGACATTGATTTCTGGTGTTTTTATCATGAGATTTTTTTAAGACAATAGATTACAAAATAAGAAAATGGAGTACATGATGAGGGTAACCTTTTTGGAATCAGCTTTATAAGTTGCACTTCCATAAAATGATATCACTTAAGTCTGAGACAATATTTTTCAAAATTTTTCTTGAACAATATTTTGTATATTTATATTGTTTCAGGAGCCCTTTATAGATGTTTGCATTGGTGGTACAGAATTAGAAGGTGCTGCACCAGGAACTTTGCTCGTTTGGGCTGTCACTGCACAAGGAAGGGTATGTAAAGATAATGTCTTATATTATCGAATATTGTAAGATAAAAGATTATTCTTGCAATACTAGGTATCCAATATATTCCTAATTACACAAATGTAAAAAAAATGATTGTTTTTCAGAACATTATTAGTAGTCATAGCTGATTTAAACAGATATGTCTTACCAAATAAGATTCATTATCTAAACTACTTACATTTTCAATGTTTATTTATCATTCTTTAATTTTTTTAGGTAATGTTCAGAAGTGGTGTATCTGCTACTTTACCAGAAGGAAGACGATGGACTTGTGTAGCTACACCAGCAGGTTCTGAGGCTACCAGAGTCAGCGTTGGCAGTACTGGACTGGTATGGGCCGCTTTGTGGTCTGGAAGAGCTTTGGCCAGGGGCGGAGTTACAAGGGATGCTCCCATGGGTGAGGAAATTGATAAACTGAAATATTGATCAACATAAACTGATGTTCTTTGCGTTTTTAGCTTTAAATTAATTTTGATTGTTATGATTTAAGCATAATAGATAATAGATTTTTTTATATTTTTTATTTTTTTATATAATTTCAAATATTCTGATCTATTAATTGAAATCATGATTCTCTAAGGATTTTTTATGCTACATTTAAAATAACAAATTGAATATATATTGCTTGGAAATTAAATTGATGTCAATATTTTTATAACATGCTGTTCAAAACACTTTTGCACAATTATTTTCATAAATTGTAATATTTTTCAACTATTTTCTATAATTACTACTAAAATACTTTTTGCACTCCATATTGGCCTTTTTTGGTTTATCAGAAGCACATAATACATTTATTGTTGAAATTATTTCATTGATTGATGGTAATCGAATTAATATTAACAGTCTCAATGTTCTTTATAATGTTAATTTGCTATGATATAAAACCAATTATTAATTATTAAACTAAACTAGAAATATTTAATACTTGGTTAATATTATTTACAGGTGAAACCTGGTTAGAAGTGAAACCTCCTGGTGAGGGTTTGAAAATCACACAAGTAGCTGTTGGTTCAAAATTCTGTTTGGTAAGAATTAATATAATTGACAAATTATTTAATAATAATTATATTTGTTTTAATATTTTGAATATTTCTATTCCAAGTAAAATTTAAAGCAATCATTAAAATTACTTTTTTTTATAAAAGAAACACTTAGGTTTTCTAATATCTTATAATTTGTTTCATGAGTCATATAGTTAATTAAATTCATTGTTTACCAAAAAATAGTTATTTAAATAATTTATTTTTGTTATAATTTGAATTGTGTAAAAATGTATTAATGATTTATATTATTGTAATGAGGATTTATCTGTTTTCCCGGTACCTGATTATTTGAAAGGCAAAGGTATGCATTATAATTTGAATTGCATAATATCGTAAAAATGAATTCTATTATCATATTGTAAAGTGCTGTACTCCTGGTATCTGATTATTTGAGACAGCAAGAACCAGTATTTGAAATGACCTTAAATTGAAATGCTCTGATCCATGCAACCCATAAGTTTAATAAAATTATTTTCCTTATTCTGTTTACAGTACTTTACTTAATTCAATAAAGTTGTATGACATGTGATTGTTCTCATGGTACACAAATATTTTTAAATGAACAATATTTATATTTAAAGAAAAAATCTGATGCCTTTCATTTTAATTGGAAAACATAACTGTTGCCCTAGTATGATCTTATTTCATTAAACGTTTAAAGCGGACTTGTAAGAAGTTAACTTCCAAAATCGAGAGGTTGTGCTCTGGTTTAATTTTATTGGATTTTTTTTGTTGATTGATTGAATTATACTTTTTATCTTTTAGGTGTTTGACCTCTGATAAAAGAGTTTGGTTTCGAAAAGGAATTTCTCCTGGTGGCGGTGAAGAGGGTGCTGTCGGGGCGGGATGGGTCGAGATGGTTGGCTCAATGTCACAAATATCAGTCGCTAGTAACGATCAGGTGATTAATATTTATAATAGATGTGATAAAACCTTAAATCGTACAATACTTACAAAACCAGTTATGTATTGATTACAATTTCGTGATTTTAATGTAAGGAATATGTAATGTACATTACGTAACATGATGATACGTAATTAATAATTACACAAATGTTACATAAATTGAAATCAATATGACGTAAAAAAATTGTGGATCTATAAGCATATATATTACACATATCAAAACTTTTCGAAACTTGATATTTTTGAAAAAAAAAATCAATGATTTTCAATTTTTTATCATTTTAACTTTTTTTATGACTTTTAAAATAAGAGTAATTTTCATTTTGCAATTTTAGTATAAGAAATATGAAACTTATATCACTATATTATATAATAGTTACATAAATGTTACTTCAATTGATATCAAAACATATTACGTGAAAAAGTTGTGGAACTGTTACATACATGTTACATGAATATAAAAATTTTGCAAAACTTGATATTTTTTAAAAAAAATCCATGATTACCAAATTTTTATAATTTTCAAACATTTTTCTATGACTTTTAAGATTAGAGTAATTTTTATTTCAGTTTCGTAATTTTAGTGTAAGAAATGTGAAACGAACATTACGTAAGAATTGCATAAATGTTACATAAATTGCAATCAAAAATATTACGTAAAAAAGTTGTGGACACATATATGTTACATGAATATCAAAATTATGCAAAACTTGATACTTTTTGAAAAAAATAAGTGATTTTCAAATTTTTATAATTTTAAAAACATTTTTCTAGGATTTTTAAGATTAGTATTATTTTTCAAAATGTTTAATAACAAATTATTATATTTCAAATCAAATTTTGAAAATCACATTTTACAAATTTTGACTTTATAATGCCAAAATATAATTTGAGACATTTGAAAATAATAAATTAATAAGAGCCTGAAATAATTTTTATTATTGATCACGTTTTATTATAGATAAACAAATACACAAAATTAAATTACTCAATAATATGATTGGAATGTGTTACTGTATAGTAAAGTATTGTTTTTAAAAATATTGTTTTGTTGAATTTTTAATAAAATTAATTTAATATTAGTAATACTTGGGTATTCTATTTTAAATCCACTTGAAAAATTGAAAATGAAAAATTATATCAATTATTTAGATATATTAATATCTTTTATTTTATCATAGGTTTGGGGTATCGGAAGCGAAGACAGATGTCTGTATTTTCGATCTGGTGTAAGTGCTACAGATGCAACTGGTAAAAAATGGAGATGTGTCCAGGCCAAACTTCCAATGAGCAGAACACAGAGCATGGCATCTTTAGGTAAAAATAAAACACTAGAAGAACCTCATGATAATTTTCATATTGAAAGGCAAAAAGTAATATTCTTGCTTGGTGCTTGTTATATTTCTTTTTTGTAAAATTTTGATGAGCTTATTTATTTTAATTATTAACTTATTTATATACAATTATATGCTATTAAATCTGAAATAAGTTTTGTTTATTTGTTTTCAGCAAGCAATAATAGCAGACGTAGTGTTTCAGGAAGTCCTCGAGATAAGAAACACCACAGCTTAATGCAATTGGTAAATATCTAAATAAAACCTTAAATCGTATAATACTCACTAAACTAGTCACGTACAATTTCGTAATTTTACTGTAAGAAATATGGACGTACATTACCTAATAATTCATACATGTTACATAAATCTCAACCAAAAATATTATGTATAAAAGTTGTGGATCCTGTTTCACATATGCTGCAAGAATATCAAAATTTTCCGAAACTTGATATTTTTGTAAAAAAATCATTGATTTTCAAATTTTTATAAGTTTTCGAACAATTTTTTCTATGATTTTTAAGATTAGAGGTATTTTCCAAAATGTTCAGTTACAAAACTATTATATTTTGTTATTAAATCGATTAAATCTATGTTTTTTATAGATTGACTTTTTCTAATTTATGAAAATTTAAATTTAAATCCAATTTTGAAAATCATATTCTTCAAATATTGACTTTATGATGCCAAAGTATTATTTGAGACATTTAAAAATTTATAAATACTTGTAATATAAAATTGTAAATTTTTCTTTTTTTATATTTTTATAATCTTTTACATAATAACAAAATGTTTTATACGAGTTGTGTTCAAATTATATATACACTGACTGTTAATAATGTTTAAATATTTTTTCCATTTTAGAATAGGACCAACACCCTAGGTAGTACTCCTGAGCAACATGCTGCATTCTCATTGCAATTAAATGATCTCGAAGAGACTTCTCATTCAGCACCTACTGAACATTTATTATTACATGAAAATGTTGAAAATCAAGATAAACAAAAGTGTCAGACGAATCAACAAACTAATAATATCAGGAAAAATACTGCTAGGTAAATTGACCTGAAATGTAAAAAATAGACCAGCTGGAAAAAGTTATACGGACTCATTGATATATAACTACTAATTTATATATAGATTATTATATGACTAATATTATTTTTGGTTTTTCACAGGCCAAGTTCAATGGTTGAGGAATTTTCTGTGACTGCAAAACATTTTGAAACACAATTGAAAAACCCACGAGCTTGGAGTCCTGTCAGAAGTGTTGGTTCAATGGTAAGTGACCTTTGTATTGAAAATTTAGTATCTTATGCTGTATTCTAACAAATTAGTCGACGTTTTCTCAAAAAACCGCTGGATTTATTTAAAAAAATTAAAAGCCATTCAATGTAGCTTGATGAGGACTAGCGTTAGTCAGTTTTTCGCGACGATCAGCCGAGCCGTTTCTTTGTAATTAGCAATTAATTTGTAAAAAAATATTTGCCCACCTCTTAGGCCACAATCTTGAATCGATTTTAAAAATTCCAAAACTGTTTGAGAGATAATTCTTGAAAATCGTGCTGATTAGTTTTTGGTAAAATTGGCCGAGCCGTTTCTTCGGAATTTCAGACTTTTCACTCGCTAACACCGAGATTTACATGAATTTTGCCGCCGGCATCCGAGTGGAAAGGATTAATGTTGAAAAAAAATTTCTTTCTTACAGGTTGGTACTGAAGCAAGTGCAGATGCCGACGTGAGTGTCTTCGATGCAGACTCTTGTGACACAAACAGTTATGCAGGAGGAGTTCCAGGTGATGAGGACGACTGGGCTTCTATGTGTTGGGGCGAAGGCGGTGTCCAGGAGACTCCTGCATGCTGGGATGGAGTAGCTGCTGGAGCCTGCATGGTTGATCCTGCTCATCTACCAAACTGGTAAGAGAAAGAAAAGTTAATACAAAATTTCAACTGTCCTTCTTATTTCTATCAACCAATTACTTCTAGGTTTATGGAGTCGTCGTCTTCTCTTCCCCAAGTCGAGTTAACCCAACAGTGGCGCCTGGATATCTTAAACTCCTTAAAACAACTCAATGCAACAGTTGATTCCACTGATCCCAAATGGGAACATTATGAAAATGCTGCTGAAGGAGGCTCCTGGACCAAAACTGGTGAAGCCAGGTGCTGCCTAAAAGATGACAACATGTTTGCTGACTGTTTGTTGGAGTTGGAGTGGTTTGGAGACAGCACTTTGGACAGTGGTAGTTTGACAATACTGAATGCTGATGGAGCCACAACAATGGTAATAGAAATACCATAGAAATGCATTTTTTATAAGGTCATTGGTCTTTATTGCTGGTTTTTTTATGCAGATTCAAATCAGTCTATCGGATGTTTGTTGTGTTTGGTGCTGCAGTGAAGCTGGTTCCCCGCGTATTGCTTTGCAGGCTCCAAGATCTTTGGGACATGGAGCACCTTCAAATAAACATTCACCACCTCCTGTAGTCTTGCAGTTTTCGGGAGATGCTGATATGGAAGACTGGCTTGCATATCTTACATCAGGTCAGACACAAGTATATTTAATTGAGGTTACATTTTGCTAATTTTATGATTTTTTCCAATGCTATATTTTGTGGCTTTTATGTTTCAAGACATTTTGAATTGTTTTTCATCGAAGTTGGAAAAGTGTTCGACAAAATCGTCGAGCAGTTTTATCAAAAACTGTTTAACCAATTTCAAGTTTTAAAAATTGATAAGCCATGTCTCTTCATCAAGTAAAGATCCAGATCATATGCTAGTATAGCGATCTTTTTCTTCCTTAATTCCAATTTGCTTATCAGTAGAGTTGTTTTTTTTAGTTTATTCTTAGTTTGGCGATCAGCGGAATTTACTCATTTGGTTTATTTGTTCAGTTTCATTTTTTTTTTCTCGATCTAAAATTGGTTTGCTGAACAGTAGGGCTTTGTTTTCTTTTAGAATAGAGTCCATCAGATTAAGTTTGCTCTCCAGTATATTTTTGTTTTCCTTGATAAAGTTAAGATTCACTTTGTGCATCAGTAAATTCATTATTTCTTTTGATACTAAAGTTTTGTACTTCACTCAAAGAGTTTTACATTTAGTGCATTTAAATAGATTTTGCTGGTCAGTAGATTTCTATTTCTATTCCAGTTTGTTGTCAAATGAACGAAGCCAGTGGCGGTTCTGGTCCTCGATCCTTGTGGCTGACGACCAGATTGGGCGATGTCTTCAACTTTGACCCGGAGCCCTTGGCCAAACAACAGAAGTCTCTGGCGGAGTCCCTTCGAGAACAAAGACTTGTACCAAAATCTGTGGAATCGGTGAAGAAGGATCTAGACAATATGAATATTAATGTTAATGAAGCGTTGCTGAAGAGCGAACAGGAAGATGGAATGATTAAAGCAAGTGAGGAAAATAAAGGTGATAAATTATTTTATAAACAATTTTTTTCACACTTTATTTCATGTCTCTTATTATTCTCTTTCTGTTTAACTTTATTTGTTGCTCGCTCTATCTTATTCCTCTCACACTTAATTATAGTCAATTTTCTATAAAATTAATTTTCAGTGGAGATTTATAAGCATGCTGAGTTGATGTATGTGTTATAATGTTGTAGATTATTTAATTGTGAATATATTTTTCAAATACATGATTCACTTCAGAAAATGAAAGACATTTAATTCTATAATTCTTATCTTTCACCTTAATTTTAGATACCAAAGAAACTCCTACCACAGATCTTAATGTGACCAAAGGGGCTCCCAGATATGCCATCTGCGTTGATCTCCAGGCAGTTGATGCCCCTTACGAGATGGATTTGAATGCCTCCTTTCCTGTTGGTACGGAACTTAGTGTTCACGGTAACGTTTTGGACGAATCAGAAAGATTTACAGTGGATTTAAGATGCCACGAAGTCGTCACGATAAAGCACAAGGCTGAAAGACAGGTTGGTCAAGGGGGCTACCCCTTATTAGATAGTAGAAAGAATCAAGCAATTGGTACATCTTTATTTTCTATATTGAACAATTTAATGAAAAAAAGCAAGTTTGTTTAAAAATAATCTACAACTAGTGGTGCATGGCATCATGCTTTAAAGCAAATTGCTGGAACTTCTTATACCATCATGAAATATTCGATCATTATAAATACTGTGACTTTCATTATTTTTGGTGTCTTGTGGTATCTGAATTAACACTGTGAGCAAATCAAATGTAGATCATAAATCAATTTATCGCGAAGTTTCCAGGGACATTAACAACCGTCATTTCATTTCTAATTCAATTTCAATAAAATAATTGCATATAATTTACACAAAATTGATATAGTCACGATCTAAAGTTTAGATTCATAGGTTCCCAAACATTGTTTGTGTCGTGGACCATTTAGACTTTTAAAAGTAACTAAAATCTGATTAAATTTGGACCAACTTTTATGAATTTTTATAAAAATGTCTAAAATCCTGATATCTGGTCCCCTAATAAAAAATCTACGTCTAATATATACCTCTTAGGCCTTCCATTAGGCCTATCACCTTACATAATAAACAAAAAAGGCGAATTTTATTTCAACAAACGTGCAACTTGCCAAACATTCTTGATTTTAATTTACGAAATCTTGGTAACATTATACATGATAAAATATTTGGACGGGAAAGACATTTTGCGCCAAACTGGTCTTCTTAGAATGGTAATAAGTGACCAACATGGATTTTGGCAATTTTTGATATTTTTTTACGTATTTTTCGAATACATCAACCGTACAAAATTTTTGCAAATTTTGCAAGATTTACAACTATACGATGATGTAAAAGACAGGTTCAATTTTAATACCAAAATGTGTTATAAAAGTGTTAGGAAGTTTATTTTTGCGACTCATGGTTTTGTGTTTTTTGGCTTTATCGTCTGTGATGGCTTGTGATATTGTTAATTTTTATCGACTTTCTGTACAGGAGTATATTTTGAGTTCGATGGCTTATTTTAGTTTGTATTTTGTCAAAAAACTTTCTGTTTGTGTTGACGAAACTATTGCTTTTGGACAATTTTTTTTTTTTAAATTTCTAAAAAATATTTTTTTTTACTAAATTTTATTCTACGAATATTTTATTATGGTACGGAAGTTCCAGTAATCTGCCTTAAGGCACGATGCCATACACCAGTAGTTTCTAATGTGATGCCAAAATGTTCAGAAACCTTTGAAAATTGAAAATATGCAAAAATTTTCAATTGCGATTTTTGAACGATTACAATAACACTTAGTACGGTTAACCCTTTCTACTCGGATGCCGAAAATTCATATAAATCTTGGAATTCGCGAGTGGAAAGGGTTAACAATAAGTACAAATTTTGTTTACACTTCTATGAGTTCCATATCAATGTTAATCTAATCTGAAACATTAACTCCATTCTGCTAAAAACACATTTATTTTATATATTGACTACAAATCTATATAAATTTTATTTGAATTTAATGAACACTTTGTTTTTTTCTTAAAATATACCTGCAATCTATGCTAGTATCATTATTTATAATAATCTACAAACTCTATAATCTATAAACTACAGTTTTTTTAACATATTTACTTAAAAAAATCTATATATGGCACAGCAGGCATAAATACTTCTCGAGAGACAACATAACCTTCAAATTAACAATATTAACATAAATCCTAATAATACTTCATTTACATCCACTTTTCTTTTTCTGCAGATGAGAGACATTCCATTCCACCTAAGTGTTCGGTTTGCTGAAGACATCCTAGTTTTAAATTCAATGAGAGACAACAATTGGCTCGAAGAAGTTAGATACGAAGACTTTCCATTCTTCAAAGGCGGAGACTTCACTTTGAATATTAAATGTGAAGAGAAGTGCTTTGTTATAAGTGTCGATACAAAAGTCTTTGCAAAGTATGTGCATAGACTTCCTCCGGAGAGTGTCAGCCGACTGAAGATTGGGGGGACAGTGAGGCTGTTCAAGATTACTTATGAAACTAACGAGGTAAAGAATTATATATATATATATATATATATATATATATATATATATATATATATATATATATTCAATAGATAAGTCCTGGATATTTTCAATATATTGATTGTTTCTTTTCCGAACAGTAAATCCAATAATAAAAAACAATTTGTTTTTTGAAGATGTTTAATACGACGTTTCGGAACTAGGTACGTTCCATCATCAGATTTATTCCGTCAAATACAATGTTTTTTAAAAATATTGATTAACATTAATTAACGATGGTCAATACAGATTAATTAGAAAAAAATTGTATAAAGGAATGGATTATGTACCGGGGTAAAGAGTAATAAGAAATAACTAAAAAAGGTTTTATATAAAATTGAGAAGCAAAAATTATTTACCTGTAATAATTTAAATTATTACAGGTAAATAATTTTTGCTTCTCAATGATTACTAAAATAGCTATTATGAAATAAGGGTATCTGGTAGAAGATTTGTAAATATTTTGTAGACCTTCGAATAAAAAATCCAAAAAGTAATAAAGAAACGTTTTAAAAAACTTTTTTGTTTTTTATTTATTTACTATCGACGTTTCGGAACGGACATCTTTCAAGAAACATGATCTTTACTAGATTTAAGCAAACAATATGTTTAAAAAAAGCAGAAGATAGTGGATTTTTTATATAAAATGATAAAAATAAAAGAGTGGATTATATAAAAAAATATTAAAAATGTTAAAAAATTAGAAAGTTTTAAGAAAAGGTTACTGAAAAAACAGAATTAAATATCTATATGATTGATTATACACTAACACTTTTTCACTAAAAAAGATTTTATCATAACAAGTGATTTTATAAAACGAAGAAACAAATTTTGTAATTCAAATAATATTCAAAGAAATTTTGAATTGCAAAATTTTTCTTAGATTTATAAAATCACTTGTTTTGATTAAATCTTTTTAGTGAAAAAGTGTTAGTGCATATACAATCATACAGATAATTAATTCTGTTTTTTCAATAACCTTTTCTTAAAACTTAATATTTTGTTATATAATCCACTCATTTATTTTTATCATTTTCATTTTGATTATATTGTCATATTTCTTTACAATATTTTTTCCACAATTTTATTTATTTTATATAAAAAAATCCACCATCTTCTGCTTTTCTTAAATATATTGTTTGCTTAAATCTTATACAAATCATGTTTCTTGACAGATGTCCTGAAGATGGAACGTACCTAGTTCCGAAACGTCGACAGTAAATAAATAAAGAAATGGTTTTTTTAAAAACTTTCTTGTTTTTTTATCACTTTTGAGATTCTTTGTTCGAAGCTCTACAAAATATTTACAAATCCAAGACTCTACCATCTAATATATATATATATATATATATATATATATATATATATATATATTAGGGCGGATCGATTTAAAGGTCACTTAGACACATATGGTTTCCGGATTCTAGGGATCAAAAAAAGATACTTTGCTGAAGAAACCATACCTTTAAGGGGGGCGATACATGTAATCGCCTTAATTTTTACCATTTTTTGAGGACTTTTTAAACTGGGAAGGAATAACTGAATCTTTTTGAATTTTTTTATGGTTATTTATTATATATTAAAATACACAAAAACATTTTTTTTTTATTTTTTTTTTTTTAAATGGCTGCCGTAAAAATAGATCTGCCAAGACCCTCTCGGAAAACGCCATCAATCTGCGGGCGTTCTCACTTTTCGTACGGTGATCTGAATTCAAAAAAATTAGTTTGTACGTATTCATAAAACATATATCTTCTAGTTAAACCAAAAAAAAATTAAAAAAGTCACAAAATCGTAAATTGGCAGACCTCAGAAAAAAAAAGTTCGATTTTTCACCATTTTTTCACTGTTTTTTTTGGTAAAAGGTTAATTTTTGAAATTTTTTTTGGAATGTTTGAGGTTTAACTAGAAGCTATTACTGTAAAGTAGATGTGTGCAAAATTTCATTGGAATCGGTTGAGAACTTTTTGAGTTATCACGCCCGCAGTATTCAAAAATGTCGTTTGAGAAAAACGCGTTTAAAGTTTTGACACAGAAACAGATAAGAGTACAATTGCACTCGAGCGTCGAGTTGAGGCGTGGCACTTAAATGAGTTTTTAAGGTATAAATAATGATAATTTTGTTTTGAATTTTTGCAGGCATATTTTTGAGATGTTATTGTAACGATTTATGAAAAAAAAAAAATCGTTTTTTTTTTTTCTTGTTACATGTATCGCCCCCCCTTAAAATGAATTCTTATGTCCCGTGTATTGATCCAAAGATAAGAGTTAAAATCCCATACAAATTTGACCCGCTCTAATATATATATGGTAAAAGATGTACGATGAAATTTTTTTGGGCATCCTCATCTCACTTGATAATATAATAATTAATTGCATATTTCACATTTTTTACAAGTCTTTGGTATGAATGAGGCTGTGTGTTTTCCGAATACCTAATTATGTGAATGCTTTATCACATATTTCACATTTACACGGATGCTATTTCAGGATGAAGAGTCATGTGTCTTTTATAACTAACTAATTGTGTGAATGCTTTATTGCATACATGGCATTCATAAGGCCGCTCTCCAGTATGAACTCGCTTATGATAATATAAATTATTTGATGAACGGAATGCTTTTTTACAAATTTCACATTTAAATGGTCGCTCTCCAGTATGAATATACATGTGCGTTTTCAAATTGGATGGATGTGAGAATGTTTTGGTGCATAATTTGCATTTGTAAGGTCGTTCTCCAGTATGAACAAGCATATGTTGTTTTACAGTAGCTAATGTCTGAAATGTTTTAACACATATTTCACATTTATAAGGTCTTTCTCCAGTATGAATTCGCATATGAACTTTTAAATTATATGAAGAGTTGAATGATTTATTACATATTTCACATTTGTATGGTCGCTCTTCGGAATGAATAGTCATGTGTGTATCCAAACTACTTGATTCTGTAAAAGTTTCATTGCATATTTCGCATTTATAAGGTTTTTCTTCATTATGAGTTTCCATATGATGATATAAATCCATTGATGAATAGAATGCTTCATCACATATTTCACATTTTGACAGTCGATGAGTAAGCATGTGTGATTTCCTAGTACCTCTTTGTGAGAATGCTTTATCACATATATCACATTTATATGGTCGTTCTCCTGAATGAATGGTCTTGTGAGATTTTAGGTTGCCCCATTGTTTGAATGCCTTATTACATATTTGGCATTTATAAGGTCTTTCTCCAGTATGGGTTCGCATATGAGTTCTTAAATTACCCGAAGTATTGAATGCTTTATTGCATATTTCACATTTAAATTGATGATCTGTCGAATGAATAGTCATGTGCTTTTTTAAAGTACCTAATGTTGTATATGCTTTATTGCATAGTTGGCATTCGAAGGGCCGTTCTCCAGTATGCATTCGCTTATGATAGTGCAAATTATTTGATGAACGGAATGCTTTATTACATATTTCACATTTGTATGGTCGTTGTTCGGAATGAATAATCATGTGTGTATTTAAACTGCTTGATTGTGGAAACGTTTTATTGCATATCTGACATTCGTAGAGATGTTTTCCAGTTTGAGTATGAGGTTTGGAACTATTTGATGACTCGAATGCTTCATTACATATTTCACCATTATTTGAGCGCTCTTCCGAATGAATAATCATGTGTGTATTCAAACTACTTGATTGTGTGAATGTTTTGTTGCATATCTGGCATTCATATGGATGTTCTCCAGTTTGAGTATGAGGTTTGGAACTATTTGATGACTTGAATGCTTCATTACATATTTCACCATTATTCAGGCGCTCTTCAGAATGAATAATCATGTGTGTATTCAAACTACTTGGTTGTGTAAATGTTTTATTGCATATCTGGCATTCGTATGGATGTTCTCCAGTTTGAAGTTTGCAATTATTTGATGAAACAAATGCTTCATTACACATTTCACCATTATTCAGGCGCTCTTCAGAATGAATAATCATGTGTGTATTTAAACTACTTGGTTGGGTAAATGTTTTATTGCATATCTGGCATTCATAGGGATGTTCTCTAGTTTCAAGTTTGGAATTATTTGATGAAACGAATGCTTCATTACACATTTCACCATTATTCAGGCGCTCTCCAGAATGAATAAGCATGTGTGTATTTAAACTACTTGATTGTGTGAATGTTTTGTTGCATATCTGGCATTCATAGGGATGTTCTCCAGTTTCAAGTTTGCAATTATTTGATGAAACGAATGCTTCATTACATATTTCACCATTATTCAGGCGCTCTTCCGAATGAATAATCATGTGTGTAATTAAACTACTTGATTGTGGAAATGTTTTATTGCATATCTGGCATTCATAGGGATGTTCTCCAGTTTCAAGTTTGCAATTATTTGATGAAACGAATGCTTCATTACACATTTCACCATTATTCAGGCGCTCTTCAGAATGAATAATCATGTGTGTATTCAAACTACTTGGTTGGGTAAATGTTTTATTGCATATCTGGCATTCATAGCGATGTTCTCCAGTTTCTAGTTTGGAATTATTTGATGAAACGAATGCTTCATAACATATTTGACCATTATTCGGACGCTCTTCCGAATGAATAAGCATGTGTGTATTTAAACTACTTGATTGTGTGAATGTTTTGTTGCATATCTGGCATTCATAGGGATGTTCTCCAGTTTCAAGTTTGCAATTATTTGATGAAACGAATGCTTCATTACATATTTCACCATTATTCAGGCGCTCTTCCGAATGAATAATCATGTGTGTAATTAAACTACTTGATTGTGGAAATGTTTTATTGCATATCTGGCATTCATAGGGATGTTCTCCAGTTTCAAGTTTGCAATTATTTGATGAAACGAATGCTTCATTACACATTTCACCATTATTCAGGCGCTCTTCAGAATGAATAATCATGTGTGTATTCAAACTACTTGGTTGGGTAAATGTTTTATTGCATATCTGGCATTCATAGCGATGT